CAGGTCCAAGAGATCACGGGGGCAAAGTCCAGCAGACATCCGGTATCCCGCCGATGCCCACCCGGTGCCCACCCAGCAATGTGGGCACTGTGGGTTTGCCCATCTCCGGCAGCGCCTGTCAAAGGCAAAACCAACTTCTCAGCCACAGCCACCTCCGGAGCAGCCCTGGTGCTGCCAGCACACCTCGTCCCTTCCCTGCCCCAGGTCCGCGGCCTTTGGCCCTGCCTGGCCAGGCAGCGCAGTCTTCCCCCAGCAACGGAGAGATGCCCCAAAAGACAGGGCTCACCATGTTCCTCTTCCTTTCCAGGTCCGTCCCGAGACAGAGAGGTACGAGTGGGTGTTCATCAAGAAGCCGGAGCTGGCCAAAGCCGTGCCGCGCTCACGGCAGCGGTCGCCATCCCCTTCTCCCGCATCCCTCCTCGGCTCCTCCCCGGATGGCCGCAGCACCAGCTCCAACCATCTCACCGTGCCCACGCCACAGAGGAAAGGCCGTCTCTCCCCGTTTCTGGCCATCAGGCATTTCCTCCTGCCTTCCAAAACAGCCTCCATGTTCATGTCTGGGTCACGGGAAGGGATCATTATTGGTAATTACCGAATGGTGGGCACCCGACACATCGCTGCGTCAGCTGAGAAGGGCTCTACTTCTGAGTAAAACCTGAGCTGCCTGTAGAGGCAAAGACCTCCTGGGTTAGGATATAGAATCATAGAATCATTAAGGTTGGAGAAGACCTCTAAGATCATCAAGTCCAACCATCAACCCAACACCACCATGCCTAGAACCATGTCCCGAAGTTCCACATCTACATGGTTTTTGAACCCCTCCAGGGACGGTGACTCCACCAATTCCCTGGGCAGCCTGGTCCAATGTCTGACCACTCTCTCAGTAAAGAAATTTCTCCTAATTTCCAATCTAAACCTCCCCTGATGCAACTTGAGGCCACTGAACTCAAAGTCAGGGGAGATGAAGCCAGCCCCCTCTTCCTCAAATGAGCAGGAGAGTGCAAAGCTGCACAAGGGCCAGGATGCTCCTTCTGAGAGAGGGGCTCTGCCAGCCGAGGGGGAGCACCACCACCCAAACCTCCCAGCAAGGTTTGCACCCCTGGGGGTGCATATCCTCTCCCAGCCCTTCCCACCGCTTTGTGAGGGATGGAGAGGAGATGCAGGTGGGGATCACCCTGAGGAAGAGCCGGGCACGGCCAACCAGAACAGATAAGCACAAGCCTGGCTGCGGGGATGCAAGGAGCTTTCCTTGTTCTCCAGCTCTCCAAGCAGTTCCATAATTCAGCTTGTGCTACTGGGGCAACCCCTCGCACCGGCTGCCCTGCAGATTGCTCTCCGGAAGCTCTGCCTCCACGCCGACCTCCTGGTTAGCAGAGCAGGCAGCCCAGGGCATCCCCAGCCCAGCTCTGCAGCCTGGCCAGAGGACAGAAAGCTGAGAGATGGGTGCAATCCTGAGAGACCCCGTCGGCAGGGATGGTGCCCTGGCTCGGGTGACGAGGTGGGGGGAGCAGGTCCGACCATCTTGCTTTGCTTTTGCAGGTGGAGGGGGAGGCCAAGCTCTGTCCCTTGACGCCAACCTGCTCTGGGGGCACACGGAGCACTGCGAGACCTTCGACAACCCTCCGCTCTGCCAGGAGAACTTCAAGGTGCAGCTCTTGGAAGTGTGGGGCTTTCAGAACGTCTAGGTCCCGTGGGGAACAGCCCCCCCCGCCGCGGAGATGGGGACCCCTCCCGCTCGCTGTCCTCCCCACCACGGACAGCCGTGAGGGCAACGCGCTGCTGGGAACGCGGCGGCAGCTGCTGCCTATGGAGTCATTTGAGGTCCTCTCCCAGCCAGCTCCACCCAGTCTGTCCCAGTTTAGGATGCTGGAGGGGAGGTGAGACAGTCTGGCGTTTCTCACACCTCCCTGGCCTGTCTGTGGCTCAAGAGCAAACCAGTGGTACTGCAGCACAGATTTTACAGGAATTTTGAGCCCAGGCGGAACCCAATGCCGAGGTGCAAAGCTCACCAAAACACTCTCAGACCCCTCCGCGGCCCCAAGCCTGGTGCCACCCTCCAAGCCGCACGCAGAATTCTGTACGCTCTGCGGGTTACCAGGACTCCCCCGGGATCACACACCGATCACCGTCCCGCACAGTGCGAGAGACTCTTCCTGTCCATGGCTGAAACTGTGGATCAGGGACTGGCGAAGCCTGACCTGGGGTCTGTACGCCGGCAGCCAGCAAGGGCCCCCCAGCCCCGTGCCTCGGCATTTTGTTACGGAGCCGAAGGTCTCTTTTCACCGCGAAGCGCTGACGTCAGACCACGAGCAGTGACTACGCGGGAGCCAACGTGCCCCGACTGCCTGGGGTCAGGACAACGCGAGACGCGCCGTTTTAAAACGCGCAGCGTGAACGCGGACGCGCAGCTGGGTCAGCCAGGGCAACCCTCGCAGGAGGGCTGCGGACCACAGAGACATCGTCCCGGCTGCGGGATGGGAACGTCTCCCACGTCCAAACACACTGTCCACTTGCGGTTTATGATCCCGGCTGTGGGATGGGAACATCTCCCATGTCCAAATACACTTTCCATGCACAGTTTATCGTCCCGGCTGCGAGGTGAGAACATCTCCCACGTCCAAACACACTGTCCACTCGCGGTTTATGATCCCGGCTGTGGGATGGGAACATCTCCCACATCCAAACACACTGCCCATTCACGGTTTATCATCCTGGCTGTGGGATGAGAACATCTCCCACGTCCAAACACACTGTCCACTCATGGTTTATGATCCCGGCTGCGGGATGAGAACGTCTCCCGTGTCTGAACACACTGTCCACTCGTGGTTTTATCTTTCCTGTATTCCGCTTCCCAAGCTATCCAGAGCAGGAGCCGTCGCTGCCTCGGGGCCTGCTCCCGGCAACGGCAGGAGGACGGTGGCGAGCGCGCACTGCGCCA